TGATGAGGACGTGCCTTAAGTGTGCAGCCTTTGACCTTCCAGGAAGTGAAGCCTGGAAGATGTCCTTCCCCAGATTGTCTTCACCAATTCTTTAACTGTTTTGAAAAGTTGCTAGTCAAAGATTCAGACACCATTTATCTTAAGGCTGAACATACTGTCTTTGTCTTCCATCTGGCTGCTGCTGCTCCATGACTGCAGTTCTCTGTCATGCAAGTAGTCTCATTGAATTCTGTGGGATTACACATGCAAGGAAGGATTAAAGGATAGGGCACAAGATTAGGGGTGCACATTTAACCAAGATTTTCCACGTGACAAAGGCAGGTGTTCGCACAGCTTTTACCTCTACTTTTAGCAGCATCTTACACAATCTATTATTTTTCTTTCCTTTTTAGGTCATTAATGATATGCTTCCTGTTATTGGAAAGAAAAAGGTGGCTGCCATTATAGCTGAAGCACAAGATGCCAAATTTAAACTCGAGTTTCTCCCCTCCACAACTACAGAATATGTTAATAGCTTGATATTTCTTGATGAAATACAGGAAAGAGTAAGTTCAGGAAGTGGAAAAGAGGGTCACTGTCTGAGCCAGATGAGAGCATATTTTCTGCACATATTTTCTTGGAAAAGGTGGGACAAGAGAGACTATGTACATATGGGCTGGAATGGACATTTGAGCTGATCATCATTATTGGTTTCACAGGGCAGCTGATTGGTGAGAAGTGTTAGTGATAAAGCTCTTTCTGATTAAACAGAGCATCACAAGCATCACAAGTCCAGTAATCTACTGTCCTCCTGGTAGAAGCAGCTTGAGAAAAACCCTGCTTGGTTTGTTTTTACAAGATCTTGGTTACTGCCTGTCTCCCTGGAGTTGCTTTCTTTTTTGGGCAGGCTTCTGATGCATAAGCCTCGATGGAGCAGGAAGGTGCTCCTGAACTTTATTCCACGAGTCTCATTTTTCTTATCTTGGCAGCCTAGCTAGCAAAGCCTAGAGCTGTTTTTGTTGTGCACGTGCCAGGTAATAGTACTGCTTAAACAGAGGGCCTCTTCAGCCTTTCCCCTTGTTAGTCTGAGAACAACACCTGAGATCCTTGGACAACTAGTTCACCCTTCCAGGTTCTGCCTATTCTTTAAAATAGTGGCAGAGAACCAGAAAGGTAACCTAATAGAAGTCTAACATGGGACCCACATAGCAGGTACAGGTTAGTTGATTGACTTAGTGGCTGAGTTGCACCGATGGAGCCTGACTCCTGTCATGGGAGGTAGGAGTTCACTTTCAAACAAACACCAGCATTTGTTTCTAATTCAGTAGTTTCACTGGTGGCCCAGATCGCAACACATTAACATTTCAAGAGGCTGCATTAGGAACTACCATGCTTCTCATAGAAAAGAGAGTCCAACTTCTCATCATCATGTGTGCATACTTATCCATTCTAGGACAAATACATATCCTTACATATACACCACCTTGAAGTTTGGGAGTTACATTTAGTGTTGGATCAACCAGTGGAACGGTCATTTATATTTTTGGTTACTGTATCAGTGATTTTTATTCTTAATTTAAAGCAGCTATTCTCATTCCTGTAACCTCCTCAGGAAGGATCAGTAATGATCCTGAAAATATGGCCCTACAAATAGGTGTTTCTGGGGGCATCTGAACATGCTATTAATACAGAGCAATAAACTATGGCACTTATTGTGCTGGAGTTTATTGTTTCTGGGTGGGCATCTTTGTATCTGCATTAGAAATTTATAGTAATCCTTTTGTAAAGACCTTTCTTACCTTGTTAAGGTAAGATAATACAGTTTGGACAGCTGTACAGCCCCACAGTATTTTTTTCTGGTTAAAACCAGAGTATTCTAGGAAGACTTACAGTGGTCTAAAGACTTTAAAAACAACCAACTCCCCGTGAGGCCAGGCAGTGTTGGAAAATGATGCAGGAAGGCTGATGCAGTGATAAAATGCTTTTTTAGTGAGGGCCCTCTATATGTGCAGGTAAAGGCACAACAGGGCTAATGCATGATCCACACATGCATGGCAGGAGTTGCAATTGTGTGTTTGTGAATCAGATCCCATCATGCTTATTGCTGTTACAGAGGGAGCTTGATCTCAGGCTTCCCTAGCATTGGCAGTAAGCAAGCTTCTGCAGCTGGGAGCCCCATCAGCTGACCTGGGCTCCTAGCAGTGGGGATGTCCCAAAGATCCCTATGGCAGAGAGACCACAGCTCATGTGGTGTCATGCACCCCCACAGTTGTGAGACCACAGCTGAAATGGTGTTCCAACCTCTGGGGCACCTCACGTATCCCCATGGCTGGGAGACAACAGTTGACCACAGCTGCATGAAGCATCCCATGACTGGGACACTGCATCAGCTGTGTTCTCCCAGCCGGAGGGCTACATGGGGTGCCCCTGAAGCTGAGAGTCCTGGGAGGAGGTTCCCAGTGATGGGAGCATATGCTCCTGCAGCTGGGAGTCGGCATCAGCTGGGAGCTAATTGGGGCTCCCAGACATGGGGGCACCTGGCCACATATTCAGTTAATGGCATGATACGAAGCAACTACAGAGTTATTACACAGCTATTACACAGTTATCTCATTCAGTTCTAATGTTGCTTTTGGTCTCTGAGTGCAGTGTTTTGCTTCAGAGTCATCATCTCTTTCTCCTTTCATGCTTTCTCTCCCTCCCTTTTTCTGAGTTTCTATTAATTGTTAAAGTTCTGTAGTCCATTCCAGTTGGTTGAATGAACAGTGGGCTAAAATGTTCTTCTTGGAGCAGGAAATTCATTAGTCTGAACTATTTCCTGCTTTCATGTATAGTTTATTAGTTCGTTTAGAGTCTTAAGCTTGCGAGTTATTTGCTGGGCTGACAGTATAGTTTACCAAGCTTGCATACAGGGAGCTGTGGTATCAGAAATCCTTGGCAGGAAGCTGCCTTTGAATGTTGAGAGGTGGTATAACCAGCTCAAAAATTATTTCCAGACTAACTGTGCTTTTTATTGTGAGCAGACAAATCTCTAGGTAAGGGCAAACTGTTTCTTTTTAGTTTTTGAATCTTGTCTTATTATTTCCTTTTGAATAATGTATATGTATTATAGAATCCCCAGGTGAGGAATACTGTATTTAAGGTTAATTTCAATTTTCTAACAATTGGAACATGACGTATTTTCTTGTATACGATATGAATGCACCTTCCTCCCCCCAGAAAAAGAATTGGAAATTAGAGTTTACATTTTATTGGAGACACATAGTAAGAACAGTTTCTACTGCATGCTGGGCAAAAGCAAAAGTAAAATCTGCATGGGACTCACTGGTAGCAGAACAATTGGCAGGCTCGGTTCTGTCCCTGGTACTACTCAATGGCCGTGTCTACATGACACACTGACTGTGCAGTAACTCATTACTGCTGCTCAGTAGTGTCGTATAGCATGAAGTTTGATGCAACGCTACTGGACAGTAGTAATAAGGTACTGCACAGTCAGCATCATCTAAAAGTTGTTCATCGATGCAAATGCACAGTAACTCTGGTTACTGTGCAGTCAGTGTCTCATGTAGATGCGGCCAGTTACTACAAGGAAAGATCTTACTTTTCCATTCTACCTTTAAAAAATAAGGGGTGTATTTTATTTTGGGGCATGTCGTATGCAAGAAAATATGGTAATATTCTCTTTAGTAAAGGAAGCTACAGTGAAGAAGATGCCATTCTAACCCAACCTGTCTCTGTCTTCCAGTAACCTAACTGTAGTCTCCTGTGATATTCTCTAAGCAGTAGTGAGATAAGAGACTAACAAATACAGGGATAAAATTAACCTGTTTATCTTTCTATGTAAATAAAATCTTATACTGGATCTGCTGTTATGACTAGAGGCTATTTTTAATTCATGTTTATTCGTAATAATTATATTCATATTCTAACTATAGTTTGATACTATCAGCAACATAGCTAGGATTAAATAATGGTGCAGTTAAAAATATAGTTGGTTCAAGATAGTGTAAATGTGATTATTTGTATAGATTGAAAACCTTGAAGAAGAAGCAAATGTGGTAACACAGATGTATCAGCTTATTGAACAGTACCAAGTCCCTGCACCTCCTGAAGATTTTGCTCTTTTTGCAACTCTGAAACCATCAATTGTTGCAGTTCGCAATGCTATTGACAGAGCTGTGGGTGAAAGAGATACCAGCATTACTCAGTTTTGTCAGCATTTAGATCAGGATGTTTTAGAGCTAAATGAAGAAGTAAAAGAAGTGAAACAGCAAGCTCAGGTATGTCAAAAGCAGTTTGTATTCTCTTTTTCACTGTCTGTTTATCAAAACAAACAACCCCCCCAAACAAACCAAAAACCCAGCAGCAGTCAGGACTGTGAAGTTATAAAGGCTCTGTTTAACTCGGTAAACATATTGGGCATTTATACAGATGCTCCAGGAGTGGGGGAAGTGCTTTAATTAGAGCGGCTCCAAGAGCTGCTCTAATTAAAGTGCCTGAAGCATCTCATGTATCAGTGTCCCTGTGCTTAAAAATGGTGGCAGGGGCACTTTAACTAAAGCTTGCTTGACAAGCTTTAGTTGAGGTGCCCCTACCACCATTTTTAGGCACAGGGACACTGATACACAAGACACTGGAGTCTGCTGAAGCATGGTATTTACCACACTCCAGTAGACTCGATTAATCGCAGCATGGCAGAGCAACATCACTGCCCATGTATATGTGCCAATTGTCAATACTTACTGTATATCTAGTGTGTAAAATGAATTTCTGTCCCAAAAAAGGAGGCCTAAAATTAAGATGCATCTTATATATTTAAGCTGTAAAACAAAATAATTGAAACCATTGTAATAAAATGTTGACAAAAATTCAATCAAGCTTAAGCAAATGATCCTTTTGGAGGATGATCCTTATATACAAATGTGCCTTTTAAGCACTGAAAACACATGGTCCTGTTTTAAATTGAACTGTGTCAGCTGAAGGGTTGCACCTTATTTCTGGAGACAGGATTTAGGGCAGGGGTGGGCAAAACTTTCACGAACCTAAGGATAAGCCTGTTAGTGGGTAAAAAATAAATAAATAAATAAAAAATAGACATACTTTTTCTTTCCTGAAGGCAACTCCCTGCAGTGCAAAGGAATAAGATAGCTGTGTCCTGTTTTATGTCTCAATTTTCAGTCAAAATATGGTCCTGTCTGGCCCAGGTGCTGCCCTGCTGTGGCGTGTCCTGCTGCCCCCTAGCATGCAGCGGGGCTGGAGCAACTCCGTGGCTAGACTGCCTTTCTAGGCAGCCTGGATGGTGCTGGCCCCAGCCCTGTGGTACCAGTGGGAAGGAGCGTGTGCAGCCCCAACCCAGTGTGCCCCGTGCTTGCTCCAGACTCACCCATCTGGGCTGAGTAGTAGCAGCAGCAGCGGCGGCACCAGGCAGAAACTGTTGCTCAGTGCAGAGGAAAAGCAGCTCCTTCTCCTCGCTACTGCCAGGCAGTTCTTGCTGCAGCTGCCTGGAGCCAATGTTTCTGTCACTACTGCCTCTGGGCTGCCATGTGGCTGTTTTGCACTGTCATTGCTGCCCCAGTGAGCAGCCCAGGAATGGCAGTGATGCCTGCAGAGATTCTGGGCAGCCCGGCACAGCATGGGCTCCAGGCAGCTGCAGTAAGGACTGTTCAGCAGCAGGAACCAACTGCTTTTCCCCTGCGCTGAGCAACAGTTTCTGCCTGCTGCTGCTGCTGCTCAGTCTGGATGGGCAAGTCTGTAGCAGGTGTGGTGTGTGCCAATTTGGGGCCGCACACGCTGATCCTTGCCAGTATGGTGGGCTGGGGTCAGGAGTGGTGGCAGCCAAAAGGAGCCACCGCCACCTGGGCTGCCTAGAAAGGCAGTCCTGCCGCAGAGCTGCCCCAGCCCTGCTGTATGCCCAGGGAGTGGCATGATGTGCCATGGGCAGGTGGTACAGAGCAGGTGCAGCGCATGCTGGGGCTGTGCACTGTTGGCAGTAGAGGGGAGGTGCTGCAGGGTGCACGGGTTCTGGGCTGCTGTGGGGCGGGTGCTGACTGACTCAGGGGAGCATGCACGGGGGCTTCCATGCTCACCCCGCCATACCCTCAACCCCCTCTTCCACAAACCCCACAACCATACCTTCCCCCACACATAATCACAAACACAACACTCACATCCACATGCCTCTGGGGGGAGCCCCGTGCACTGCTACATGCACACACCCCGCCACACACACCCCCAGCCACTCTTCCCCTCCACATACCCCCCCACAAACCTCCATATCCACCCACCCACATCCACCCACAGCTCCACTCAAAACTCATACCCACCCACCCACAACCCTCCTATACTCCCCCCCCTACAATTGAAAAGAGTAAGACTTCATTTTGAGCTATTATGGAATCACCTGTATATACACAGTGCAAACGCACATAAATCAGGACAAACTATTTTTTAAAAATAAAATTAAAACATGTTATTGTGGATGTTTGATTTTTAGTGTATAATTTATTTTTTCTGGTTGCAAGATGACAAACCCCCTTCCCAAAAGGAGTGCTTCCAGGGGCAAAGGGAGGGATTTCTGGTGGCAAAGGTCAGGGGTTAGGGGGTGGGACTTCTAGTCCCTAGATGGCGACCAGGGGGTGGAGCGCATGTCAAGGGGTGTGGCCACCCTTGTAGCCCTCCAGCTGAAATAATTGCCCACCCCTGATTTAGGGTATGGCCCAGTTGATTTAATTTCCAAATCTCTTGCATCAAGTCAGATGTGTATGAGCTTATAGCCTGGTGGATCTTGCAAAGATGGGGGGGGAGGGGAGGATGGAATTGTTTGGCACAGAAATGTCTTGAAGTTTCAGCAGCCATTCTCTTTTTTTTGCACTCTTCCCTCCTTGTGGGGATTCATCAGCTTTGTCCTCTCTATACTGTATCTTCCTGCTCTCACCTAAAGTCCTCCTCAAGCACTGAGGTACCATGAATCCCAGGATGCTAGGCTCTGCATTCTTGGGTGGAATGGACCTTAAGTGGAGTCTCAAAAATCTAGACTTCCCCATGCCTGACAATGCTTAGTGGGGTAAGAAGGGGAAGCATGTGGGAGAGCAGATGTATGACTCCCGATGTTCAGAGACATCTTGAATATATAGATTAAAAAAAAGAATAATAATGTTTCATATTATATAATGTGGTGGGCCAGTAGGGGGCACTCCTGTGTTGAGCCACCCACCTCACTGCGCCCGACCACCTTCCAGGCTCTGAGTGCCTCCCTGGAGGCACCTCATGTCTGGCTGACCCCCTTCCTGGAGCACACCCGCTAGCCTGGGGGTTCCACTGCCACCACCCAGGGCTCTGGACTGATTCTGGCTCTGCACACCCTGGGAAACACAGGCCTAGTAGCCCTCAAGGGTACTTGATTCACTTCAAGAAGTTGGGATGCTTCCCTCAGTCAGAAGCACAAATAGTAGTCTCCCTTAGTCAGCTGAACCAAGGGGACCCCAAGGCATAATCTAGACCCACGCCCAATAAGTCTCCCACACTAGGTACAAAGGAGAACTTTATTGGTTACAAGGGGTAGAGTTAGAATAGGGTACAGGGTAGAGCAATATCAGAGAAATCCCATAGAGCAAACTCCCCTGGCTGGGTAGCCTTTGATCACGCATCTGAGTTACTGCAAGCTCTATACAGTGGAGTTGCATCTTACGCAGGGGTTAGGTTCTAAAGTCAGCGCATAAGGCGAAAATCACGTATAGTCAAAATCACCCTTGAAAATCCCTTAAATTGCCCTTGGCTGGCTTTGAATTCCTTCTCATCAGAAGGCTGTCCCTCTTCGGCGGTAGGTTTGAACAGCGCGTAGAGGCTAAGAGCCATTTCTCGCAACGTGTTGCCATTGATAGGCACACGTTTACAGTTCATGTCTTCCAGCCATGAGTTTAATGCCTTTTCAGTCTTCACTAAAGTCTTATCACGCACTTGGCTTGTCACCTTAGCAGTTATTGGAGCACTTGATGCCACGGCTTGACGAATCTCACTCTCGAATCTTGATGGCAGAGATGCTAGATTCGTTGCGGCCATATTTACACGCCACATTGGAGACTGACATACCATCTCTCAATAAGTCCAACACAGCCAGTTTTTCCGCCAGCTTTGGAACAGATCACTGTTTCTTCGGCTGAGCACCAGATGAAGTAGTTGGTTTGCGTTTAGGGGCCATGTTGTACAAAAAATACATAACTTTAAACACTAGAATCACACTCAGTGTGGCGAGATGCTCACACTATGAGAGGCAGGAACTTATTGAGTGGAATGGCGGGCAGAATCGCCTGCACTATTTAAATTGTTATTTTTCTCTCTTTTTTTTTTTGCTCAGCATGTATAATTGAATTCGCGTAAGTTAAATGCGCATATGATGTGACTCCACTGTATCTCATTAGATCTCAGATAGCTTACAAGTGTCATCCAGAGGCAGGGGGGGGTTTCCCCCGGGGGGCGGCAGGTTCTTGCATTGGAGGCTGGCAGTTCCTTGATCATGAGTTTTGAGAAAGAGAGCAAGTTTCAGATGGTACAGCTCTTCTCTGTCTCTGAGTCTTCCTCATGGCTGCTGCCCCCTCCTCCTGGGAAATCCTTAACTTATATAGCCCTTGTGACCTCATTTACCTGGTCCAATGGAGGTCAGCACCTGTTGGCTGTCAGCCAACCAATTTGAAATACATCACTAGTTGCCGGGCAGACTGGCAGTCTCTAGACCACCAGGGAGGAAGCCCCTCACCCAGGTATGTGATACCAGTCATGTAGGCAGAGGGAGCAGGTTTCCCCCCTCCCTCAGGAATGTATCCAGCTCAAGTTACCTAAAGCAATAGGGTAAAGGTGTGTCTCCTCTGATGGGCCCATCCTAATCAAATTGTCACAGAGCAGAGTTTTTGGGGAGAAACAGAGGTGGCCTTCTGCCACATAAAATAGCTGATTATTGCTTTGACTGTGGGTTTTCCCCACATTGTTGTAAGATCTCAAGTTTTGGGAAAGTCATACTAATGTGCAATGCTAACAATGGCATAGTGAGGTGCCATGTTTATTGTATCTTCATTTTGAACCAATGCAGCAGGCCATGTAATGATAGAAAAATTTACAGTAAATCACTGGCAGACACTCCAGTGAATTCTCTGGATGTTCAGGTGACCACTGTAGTGGACTCCGACTGACAGCAAACTGAAGATTGGGAGTAAAAAAAAGATAGTTTTAGTTGTAAATAGAGGAAATCCAATTTTGGAATCTTTGGTACTTATTAACCATTTCCAATAATTATTAAAGAGGATTAAATCTCATTGCACATACATTATACTATGTATTTCAATATTGGAATGTTGCTCTTATGCTTCACTGAATTTAATCTTCCCATTGACCTAAAATATGGGACATTTATCTCAGTGCTTACTACAAGCTAAAGTTAGAACTGACAATAAAATGTTTTGCTAAATAGGATCCACAGATTTTGGATATCGCAGCTGACCAAGACAAAGTAAACCAAATTCTTACAGACTTACAGAACATTCTGGATGAGCTACAGAGACGTGCATTCCAGTATAAATCCTACCAGAAGAATTTTAAGGTATTTTTTTCCACAAGTACCAGTACTTGCTTTACATTTATGAAACCTGAACTGAGGGTTTGTTTTTGTTTCCTTCAACTGTTTGTGTTGTATGTGGGATGCTGAAGGGAACTAACAAAGACCTCTCCATAATTTTGCCTATAGATCCTGGATTTGTCTGTAACAGTTTTCAACAGGAGAACCAACTGGTATTTGCTGTTTGTAAAATGGTCTACTGCAGTGGTGCCCAACCTTTTTGCCTAGTGGGCCAGACTGACTGGCAGTGTCCAATCAGTCTGTGGACCAGACTGAGCTGGTGTTTCTGATCCAGTGCCAGGGTAGGCACAGTGGGCACCAACTGGTCACACAGAGGGAGGCAGGGGGGCAAAGAGGCCCCACTGCAGCTCTGCAGAGGAAAGGAGCTTGACTTGGCCCCATGGAGAGGGAAGGGGACATGGCCCAGCCCTGATCCAGAAGTGGGGGTGGGGGCATGGCCCGCCCCACAGGAGAAGGGGTCTCAGCTCTGCTCAGCCAAACGAGGCTTGGGGCTTGTGAATTTGGCAAAGAGAAGGGGGTGGCTGTATTAATGGACGCTGCCACCAAATTTCCTGCTCCACTGAGAGCCCCACCAGGCCACTCACTCCTGGCAGGGTGCAGTTTTAGGTCATGCCCAGGACCAGGAGCCTCCTAGCCATCCCCTACAGCTCCTCCCTTACCTCCAGGGTGTTCCAAGAATTCTCACAGGCAGGCAATGTTGCTGCCTAGTCTACTAGCAGCAAAATGCCCTGCTTACGTAGGCAGCCCTGAATCTAAAAAGGCTGCTCCAATCGGACACCTGCCGGCTGCTTGTCTTAGGTCTTAGAGTGGCAGGCACAAGCAGTGCCCTGCCACAGTCTGCACTAAGGGAGCTTTCAGAGTCCTGTGCAACTACCTGTCACATGTCTACCTGTTCTCCCTTAAAGGCTTATTCAACTAGGAAGAAAATACACAAAGAAGCATACAATAAGGCACGACCTTCCACTAACAACGAGCTGGACTAGATATCTCAACAGGTCTTCTTGTTTATTTAGAGTCTGTGAATCTGTTGGGCTTTGAGGTTCTCTCAGGTCTATGAGCTTGGAGGAGCTGCACAGGTTCCTCTGAAGATGCAGCCTTGTGAGAGGCACATTAAAAATCAAAAGTGATAAAACTAACTTGTTACTTTTGTGAACTTGTTGTCTGAGGCCTCCTGAGACTTAGATGAGATATGTCTCAGCAAGTTTTTGTGTGTGTCTTTAAATATAATATTGATGAAAAGTGCAGCTAGCTGGTGGAGCTTGCAAGTTTTTTGAGCAATTTCACTTCAGGAAATACAGGCTTCTTACAAGTTACCAGCATTTCTGAAATAGCCAGCATGGTGTGCAACTCTCGTCAGTATGGCATTTGACAGTGCAGCAGCTAAAGCTTCTTTCTAAAGTTTCATTCCCAAAAGTTAAAAGCACTACTGGCTACAGCACTGTATGTTATAACTTCTGGGAACTGTGTTGGGGGAAACTAAATTAGATGTGTGTGTAAATGGGCTGCTTTGAGTAACTCCAAAAGTACAAGTGTATTTGAAATAGTATTATACTAGAGGGGTACATTGCATCAGCATCTCAGTGCTGCTAGAAAAATGGATTCTTTTGGAAGTTACCATTTTTAGAGGTGCACGGGTATATCGGTTGGATATCGGATCAGCACTGATAAAAGGAAAATTAACATTATTGGCTTTTTTTGGCTGTTGTAGCCAATAATGTTGTCCGATAATTATGCCGGGGCCTCCGGACGCCTGGGTTCCCTCTTGCGCCCACAGGACTTGGGTCCCTGAACACCTGGGTTCCCTCCCACAAGCTGGGGTGACCCCAGATACACCCCTATCCCCTCACTAGCAGGCGGGCTGAGCTGGAGTGGAGCAGCTGCCGTGGTGTCCTGGGTGCTGATGCGGCGCGTTATGGACTGCGGGCTGGGGATGGGTCAGGCACTGTAAAAGGTACTGAATGCAGCAGATGTGACTGAGGTGGGCAGGGGTGGGTACAGCTGCCCAGCCTAGCCTAGCATGACTCAACCGACAGTGCCCAGGGGTCTGCACGCCAGGGGCCAGTGGCAAAGCCTGGCAGGGGTCAGGGCAGCTGCTTCCCCCCTGCTGTGTGCAACAGGGTCCTTTCCCCTCCCCGGTGCGAAGGAAGCCTCAGGGAGTGGGGGCGGGGGGGGGGGGGGGGGGGGGGTTATG